TGGCTGAATGAATGTATATGCAGGAAAATAAAACAAACTGTAGAATTATAATAGCCTTTGCATTATTTTTGGAGGGGTATATGAATCATGGCAAACAATAACAGCTGCAAAAATAAGAAAGGGATTATAAGCTACAACTGGTCTTTATGGTTCACTGGTGTATTACTCTTCTTACAGCACCTGATGTAAAGTGAATCCTCAAAAACGCTGCATGAATGAATGAGGAAAATGGAGAATAGAAGCAGGAAAGGGTGGATCCACAGCATGTGGATTGCAGTAACATCCATCTATATTTTAGTCTCTTCATCACTGGCCATTTATGAATTGCCCAGGCCTAATTACAACCCCTCCTCTGCCATTTTCCCTCACATAATGATCACACGATCTTGGATGGCAAAGATTTCTTCCTCCTTGGATACTAGGTTTGGGTGAGGTGAGCATTTAACACAATCAGGGTTGATGTAAATCCACACTGAGGGACTGATAGGAATGCTGAATGAGAAAGAAGCTGCTCTTCTTTTTCCTGGCTCACTGGTTGTAAAGACAAAATATCCCTGGAACTTCTGTGGCCATCTTTGCCACCAACTAGAGAAGATCAGCTGGAGACTGAAGCCAACAGATGAAAAAGTAAAGTTACTAGATGAAAAGAGGGAGATAAAGGCATAGTGACATCATCTCAATGCCTGGATAGGGCTTTGCTTAAAACTCATGCCACCTCTTGAATGTCTCAGTTATTAATTCCCTTTTTGCTTATGCTAATTAAGCTAAGCATGTGTCTCTTATAGTTGGAAGACTCTTAACTGTGGAGTTATTGGGAAGGTTTCTAAGATCCATATGGACCAGTTGTCAAGGAATTTAAAGCTCATCTATTTTGCATATATAAAAATGCCAAAATGGTAAAAGATTGATCCTAAGGGAGTGTCCATGAGAGAGGGAGATGGCGACAACTAATTCCCTTCTTCCACTGGTGAAGCAATTCAAAGCTCACTCTGAGACGCCTGCAATTCCTGAGCATGTGAGGCTAACTTCTGCCCTGGCTCATGCTGTCCCTGCTGTATAACATGTCCTTCACTCTCCCATAGTGGACACGTCTCTACCTTCCCCCCTGGCCCACACTTCCCCTACTCCTGTTTAATGCCCCCTCCAGCATTATCCATTTTGCTGAATAACATTGTTGGCCCTGACCTTCTCTACCCTGCCCTCTGCCTCTGGGGGCTGAGCTCTAGGGACTGCATCAACCAAGCTTTCTGTACTGAGCTGAGCCAGTGGGAGGTCTTGGTGGAAGATGAGAGCTGGACGGGAGGACAGGACCAGGGTATTTCCTCCCCTGGCATCCTCTCTTTTGAGTCACTGCAGGTTGATGGGATCCTTCAAATGAAAGTCACGACTGCTTTCTCTGAGGTCTGGTAGTGCCCCTTCCTCTTGCTCCTTTCACACTGAGGGCAGGGAATGGGTCCCCACAGTTGGTGGCTTCACCATCCATTGTTGGTTTTCCCTAACTCAGCCACACTTTTGTAAATCATCCCTCATTAACCTCTCTGACTGATATGCTTCCTTTTTGAATCCCATTCTGCTGGTCCTTCATTGATGCCTAGTTGAAATGCCTGCTCCTTCCTTTGTCCCCACTCTTATCCTTGTGACCCCTTGAATCATTGTACCTGTCATACTTCACTGCCCACTTCATTCCCATGTTCATCTCCTCTGTGGCCTAGGAGCTCCTGGAGAGCAGATGGTGCCTATTCCCCAATCTTAGGGCCATAGCAGGTGCTTAAACACCGAATGAATGAATGAACAGCTGAGAATTGTGCCCTAACTCAAAGTCGGTACCACAGACATTTATATTAGAGTAGTTGGAATGTCACAGTATTTTGGAGGGTCTTAATTCTTGCTTCATCATGGTGAACTCTCTCTAGACAAGGGTTTGATCACTCAAGCTTACCAGGTTTAGAAAGTCCATTCTTCATCTCACTTAGACTGTAGTTAATTGGTTCAAATTTGCTAAACTCAAGAGATACAGATTTTTTTAATAAAGTAATTCCACGTTAATAGTTGATGATAGGAACTATAATTGCCAAATGGACAGCAGTTATTTTTCCCTGAGTTTTATTGTGAAATTTTTCAAACATAAAAGCTTTGAAAATACAGAACATCCTTATACTCACCCACCTAGGTTTAATAGTTAACCTATTTTCCATATTTGTGTCATTTAACCATCTACATTTATAGGTATATAGCTATGCATACATGTATGATATCTAAAAATATTTTTTGTTGAATCATTTGAAAATAAATTGCAAACATCATTAAAGCTTCACCCCTACATACTTATGCAGGCATCTCCTAAGATGCCCAATCTCCTTCTAACCACACTACCAGTATCATACCTAAGAACCCTAGCAATAATTCCTTGATAATATCTAATACTTACTGATGCCATGTGTTTGCCAGCCAGACTTGGGGAGCAGGGGCACCTTTGGACCTCAGAGCCGCTCTGGTTTAATCTCAACTTTATCTGGCCTGCAGCATTTTGTCTAAATGTCGATATCTGTCCGTTTCTGCTGCAACCACTGAGATCAACAAATTTAACTGTGCACATATCTGAGAGTCAAGACTAAAGGGAGTTCTTTCTGGGCTTCTCTGGAAGCTCATTTTCAGGGATGAGGCCAGGACTGCCGGAGACAGTGGGAGGAAGGGTCTCAGCAAGGAGTTTTAGATCTCCCTCCTTTTATTTCTTTATCTTTTTCCTAATCCTAGGCCACGATATCTTTCTTTCTCTGGGCTAGAATTTATTTCTTTTTCCAAAAGAAAGAGGGGAGAAACACCTAGATGTAAAAGATGACCCTCATGTGGAACTTGTAAAATAATCCAAGCAACTGCAAGACCCTTGCTGGGAAGCTGCCCTGGCCCACCCTGTCTCACTGACACTCCATGGTTGTGCTGAAATATATGCTTTATTTGTCAAAAAGTTTTAGGTCCTACATTCTTTTTTTTTTTAACATCTTTATTGGAATATAATTGCTTTTCAATGGTGTGTTAGTTTCTGCTGTATAACAAAGTGAATCAGCTATACATATACATATATCTCCATATCTCCTCCCTCTTGCGTCTCCCTCCCACCTTCCCTATCCCACCCCTCTAGGTGGTCACAAAGCACTGAGCTGATCTCCCTGTGCTATGCAGCTGCTTCCCACTAGCTATCTATTTTACATTTGGTAGTATATATGTGTCCATGCCACTCTCACTTCGTCCCAGCTTCCCCTTCGCCCTCCCTGTGTCCTCAAGTCCATTCTCTACGTCTGTGTCTTTATTCCTGTCCTGCCCATAGGTTCTTCAGAACGTTTTTTTTTAGATTCCATATATATGTGTTAGCATATGGTGTTTGTTTTTCACTTTCTGACTTTACTCTGTATGACAGACTCTAGGTCCATCCACCTCACTACAAATAACTCAATTTCGTTTCTTTTTATGGCTGAGTAATATTCCATTGTATATATGTGCCACATTTTCTTTATCCATTCATCTGTTGATGGACAGTTAGGTTGCTTCCATGTCCTGGGTATTGTAAATAGAGTTGCAATGAACATTGTGGTACATGACTCTTTTTGAATTATGGTTTTCTCTGGGTATACGCCCAGTAGTGGGATTGCTGGGTCCTATGGTAGTTCTATTTTTAGTTTTTTAAGGAACTTCCATACTGTTCTCCATAGTGGCTGTATCAATTTACATTCCCACCAACAGTGCAAGAGGGTTTCCCTTTTCTCCATACCCTCTCCAGCATTTATTGTCTGTAGACATTTTTCTTTTTTTAAGAAGATGTTGAGGGTAGGAGTTTATTAATTAATTTATTTATTTTTGCTGTGTTGGGTTTTCGTTTCTGTGTGAGGGCTTTCTCTAGTTGTGGCAAGCGGGGGCCACTCTTCATCGCGGTGCGCGGGCCTCTCACTATCGCGGCCTCTCTTGTTGTGGAGCACAGGCTCCAGACGCGCAGGCTCAGTAGTTGTGGCTCACGGGCCTAGTTGCTCCGCGGCATGTGGGATCCTCCCAGATCAGGGCTCGAACCCGTGTCCCCTGCATTGGCAAATGGATTCTCAACCACTGCGCCACCAGGGAAGCCCTGTCTGTAGATTTTTGATGATGGCCATTCTAACCGGTGTGAGGTGATACTTCATTGTAGTTTTTTTTTGTTTTCTTTCATAGTTGAGATTTTATTGGTTGTTTTGAGGATCAGTACACAGACATTTCAATTTGTACACAGTTCTCAACATACGTACCAAAAATCTAAAAAATTATGTAGTTGTGATTCTTTTCTGAACAGTTATTCCAGTGACTTTCCAGCTTAAAATTTGGAGGCAAATTTTTCTTCACAGGATATCAAGTACCAATATCTTCAAATATTGATATGCTGTTACATCGTTAAGTCCCACTAATGCACAATTTAATATCGTATACACTACATACTCAAATTGTCAATCGTTCATAGCACACTGACAGTTTCTAGAAGAACTGGACAACCACGACCAAATATGTTACAGAGTGCACAGAATTCTGCCCGGGAGAGCCAAGATCAAGGGGTGAGTGGTTTGCTTTAGGAAACAATTCTACCAAAAACAACATGGGAAGAGAAGTAATTTAAAGTGTTTAAAACATTAAGTGCACAACTGACTCCAAACTGCCACTTAGTATGCTTTGTATTATAAGGTATAAAAGCTACCCTCCATCTGTGGAATGTTAAGCTGACACCCAAGACAATCAAAACCTCCCATATTCAATATCCCACTATTTTCTGGTTTTACCAAAAAAACAAACAACCAGCAAATGATTTCATCTCTTAGAAAAAAGCATTTACACTTAAAAAATGGGATGAGTTGGGATTCCCTCCTTTGAAAAAATATTTCTAGAGCTACTAAAAAACTTGCATTTACGAAAGAGTTGATAAAAATATTCCTCTGGATTGTACAAGAAGGGAGACTGGGGCCACTGATAGGACCAGGTATGTGATATTAATCAGACTTGGCTTCTTTTTCTCCTGCTTCATCAGAAGCTGGGCTCTCCTTGTTTTTAGTTTCTCCATTCTCTTGGTTAGCCACTTCAGCTTGTTTTCCCTTTGCTCCCCTTTTCCCTTATTGTGGCCTCTCCCGTTGCGGAGCACAGGCTCCGGACGCGCAGGCTCAGCAGCCATGGCTCACGGGCCCGGCCGCTCTGCGGCATGTGGGATCTTCCCGGACCGGGGCACAAACCCGTGTCCCCTGCATCGGCAGGCGGACTCTCAACCACTGCGCCACCAGGGAAGCCCTGTTTGCACTTTTTTGTCTGAAAATTTATCCTTTCCTGCCGCCTTTTTTGGCTTCGTTTCCACTTTTGCGGGAGCCGGTGTAGCTGACACCCTCGCCGATCTCCTCTTGCGCTCCTCCTTCGCAGCCCCCTCGGCGGAGCTGACCTTCCTCTTGGGCATCGGGACGGCGGGGCAGGCGCGTGTCCGGTGCCTGCGGGCCGCGGCACGCCGAGAGCCTTCGCAAAGCTGGGCTGCCTGGCCGCTGCCGCTCCTCCGGCTGCCCGAGCCCCTGGGACCCGCCCCTCACCGTAGTTTTGATTTGCGTTTCTCTAACGATTAGTGATGTTGAGCATCCTTTCATATGTTTGTTGGCCATCTGCATATCTTCTAGGCCCTTCATTCATAATTTACAAAAAAAGCAAGAGAAACCCCTAAACTAACAAATTTTAGTTGTTTTCACTGATCTTTTCCCCCCTCTACTTGTGGATCAGTTGACCAGTTATTTTTTTTAAAAAAAGTTTTTCACACTTTGGTTGGAATAACAACATGGCAAATAGAATTAGGCTTCAGGTTTGAGGGCTACTTGGTGTGTAGTGAATTAGCACGAAGGGAAGTGGATCATCTTGAAGGACCTCCATGTGTTAGTGGAAGTGACGTACCAAGCACACCAGAGGAGTGGGTCAGGCTCCCAGGGACCATGTCCTCTTTCCTTCTCCATTTACTGACAAGACAGTGGTGGTGGGAGGGGACATGGGTATTTCTCCTCTGTCTCTGGGGCCTCCAGCTTTGGGTCCATCTCCACAAAGACCCCAGATCCTACAGCACAACCATTCCCTCCATGATGCTAGTTCCCGTTAAACACTTCTTTTAGCACCACTTCCTCCCAATTTCCCTCCATTAATAATCTCTGATCATTGCCTCACCATCCCCTGTTTGTCTTCCCAGTTCTTCCATGCTATGTAGCTAATTTCCTATACTGTATATGCCCTATAAAGATGGGGAGTAGTTTCTGTTTCCTTGGCTGGACCCTAACTGATCTATCTTCCCACTATGGCCACTTCGTAGCTTCCTGTAAGAATGGTCAGGACAAATTCAAGATAAATATGAATTTTCTCCCAAAGGTATTTAGTGCCCACTATGTGTAAGGCACTGGGTCTAGGCACAGGGGAAGCAAATAAATAAATACATATTTTTTTATTTTAAGGAGCTCATAATTTACTGGAGGAAACACGTCAACAAATAATTTTAATAAATGGTGATAAATGCTATAAGGATACAGAAAGTATATTCCTAATGCCTTCACAGGTTTGCTTTGTTTACAGGCTACCTTTGGTGGTGTGGTATAGGAAATGAGCACTAATTAAGAGCCACGAGAATTAGGCTGTAGGTTGGGTCTATTACCACTAACTAACATGTGCATTTTCTTTCGGTTTGCCAACATTATTACTATGACCTTTCAATCCCTCATTTAACAATCCGGAGAGCCCACTGGCACTTATTTTAAAGTTCTTTCCAAAGGGCATGACTGAGGCATGACTCACCCCTATTAAACCTAGGAGTCCTGCTTCTCCAATCTACTATACAATACAGCACAACACAGAAAACTTGGACACACATGCATACACACACACACACACACACACACACACACACACATGCACGCATGCGCACGTGCACAAATTTGGCACTCCAGGGGGCCTTCTGGGGGGATGCATGGCTAGCAATTTATACAACCCAACAAAATAGACATCACCATCTGAGAGTCAGCTCAGAAGCCGGAGAAGAATAAGAAATGCTCCCCCCCCCGTGTAGTTTTGGGCTCTGCACGTGCTGGTGAGGTGCATCCGGCTCGGACAAGGACAGGTCTCTCTGGCTGAGTTCTTCACAGAAACCTCCATGATTTCACAGCCCTTAAGTGGTGGTTCCATTTCAGTAGGAACAAAACAGCTTCTTAATGGGGGAACTGTACAGGAAATCAATCATTTAAATATATTCTTAAAAGTACATTTTCACCAATTTGATTTTTTAGTTACTACCTCATCTGGAAAAAAAATCCCTTAATCCATTAAATTATTACACTTGAATATTTAATTCCTGCCCATGTACAGTTTAAATAATCTTTTCCAAATAATTTGCTTATGGCCGTTAGATATACTGAAGGTCCTCCCAAGATGTCTCTTGTAGAAGCGTAATGACTCCTTTTGCTGATGACAAACTGAGCATAAGAGAGCATTTTCAGCCCTACAGTATTATTATAGGTGCTGGAGGTATAGTGGTGGGCAGATCAGATAGAGATTCACAGCAATGTAAAGAAAGGGAAGAAAATCTAGACTGGAGAAAAATGCAGAGATTGATGGGCCTTAAAACAGAGCACATTTGCCATATTATTCTCAAGAGAGTTATGATTTAAAATGTATTGCAAATATGTGGAGAAAATCCTGCTTCACCTTTATTCAAGTGTTCAACACAAACCAGGTTTAAATTCTAGCAGCAAACTGAATTTTAGAAATGATGCGTTTCAGCCCTGTGAATTGTAGCAAGTGCAGCCCACCTGCTGTATCTTCTGTTATAAAGGGGAATTATATGCACTTTATACGGCAGACCAGAGGCTCTTCCTTTTGGTATAGAAAGTGGGTTTCACATCACAGGAAGCTTCTGCTTTTCTTCTTCCCAAATGCTCCTTAGGCTTGTGCTCAGATGGAAGGGCCTCCCCTGGCCTCCCTGTCTCCCTTTCCCACGGCCCTAGAATTTGTGTCTGTTACTTCCTGGCAGTGACCAGCTGCTGGGTTTCCTTTTCATCTTTTGTGAAGGCAGGAAACACAGAGGGGGTGCCTTGGAGGCTGAGGGCAGCTTGCGCAGTGGCACGGCCTCTGCTGCACCCTACTTGGCCCTCTGCCAGGGGCACTGGGGCAGACCTGTGAGTGATCCTGATCTTCAGACACACCTGGCTACCCCAGTACCAGGATACTGGAGCCAGTTCTGTTCCCTTAAAATTAGGCTTGATGACAGGAAGGACTAACTGGATGCAGAACTTCAGCAAAATCTGCAGTTAGACATCTATGACATTCCAGGTATAAAAAAGGCCAGGAATGCACGCTTCACACTGTCTTGTTTAAATAGCGCTCTCAACCAAGGGTGTTTCATAAAACACCTTGAGTTTTTTTTTTTTTTTTTTTTTTTTCTGCAGTACGCGGGCCTCTCACTGTTGCGGAGCACAGGCTCCGGATGCGCAGGTTCAGCGGCCATGGCTCACGGGCTCAGCCGCTCCGCGGCATGTGGGATCTTCCCGGACTGGGGCACAAACCCGTGTCCCCTGCATCGGCAGGTGGACTCTCAACCACCGCGCCACCAGGGAAGCCCAACACCTTGAGTTTTTAATTGCTTTGTTGTGTTCTCAGCCACAGTCTCAACTGAAATAACAGAAGGTATGAATGTATCTGTTAAAAATTAATTTACCTGTATATAACAGAAATACTTCCAATGATGGTGCCTTACACACAATAGAAGTTTAATTTTTGTTCACCTGAAAGGAAGTTGACACTAACTCAAGCTCTTTGTACCTCATTTCTCTGCCATTCCTGGAATGTGGGACTAGACCAGTTTTAGTTTTCAAGTTTCAGGCACCCTTTATACCATTAACACCCTTAAAAATTATTGAGGCCCCCCCCCCAAGAACTTTTTATTTATTCATTTATTTTTTTGCAGTACGCAGGCCTCTCACTGTTGTGGCCTCTCCCGTTGCGGAGCACAGGCTCCGGACGCGCAGGCTCAGTGGCCATGGCTCACGGGCCCAGCCGCTCTGCGGCATGTGGGATCTTCCCGGACCGGGGCACGAACCCGTGTCGCCTGCATCGGCAGGCGGACTCTCAACCACTGCGCCACCAGGGAAGCCCCAAGAACTTTTTTAATGTGGGTTACCATGTTAGAAATTAAAACTGAGACATTTTTTACAAATTTATTTTATTTTAAAATACTAGTAAACCCATTGAATGTAAACATTAATAACACAGATTTCTGAAAATTAATGCTATTTTCTAAGACAAAACAAAATTATTGAGAAGAATAATTGTTTTACATGTTTGTAAATCTCTAGCTGGCTTAATAGAAGACAACTTGAATCAAACACCTGTTACTGCATGCAATCTGTTGCAATGAATTGCTTTGGTTGAAGTCTATGAAGAAAATTCTAGGCTTCACATAGATATGTGATTGGAAAAGGGACTTGAAACTTTTGGGCCTCCCAAATAAGGATTTAGGGGACCCTATGTGTCCTCAGTCTACACTTTGAGAATTGCTGTCTTAAACCTCATGGTCTGAAGTAGCTGCTGGAGCTCCAGCCATTCTATTCACATCCAAGGTGTCATGACAAAGTTTGAAGAAAAGATTGGTACTTTCTCTTTAAGAGGAATTCCTGGAAGGCTCACAGCATTCCTGCTTACATCTCTTTGGCTAACACTTTCATATGGCAACATTAAGCTGTAAGAGAAATGTTTCAGTGGGATAGCAATGTACTCAGCTAAAATTTTCTAAAAAGGAAGAGGAAAAACTCTACCTAGAAGCAATTAGTAGTCTGTGCCACAGGAAGAGTGAGTTCAAAGCATTCCAATGACCCAAACACTTCATCTGCTGTTTCCATGACTGCAGATTATCCAAGCACCAGAGATCCCCTTAGGAGTCCCCTGTGAAGAAATTATTGTTAACTTTGCTATGTGATTGGTCTATGGTGTTCAAGTGCATTTGAAAGTGTCTGCAGAGGGATGGGGTGTGAGATAGGAGTCACCAGCTAACTAAAGGGAGGCAAGGTTTGGGCTTTCTGAGAAGTACTGACCAGAGCCAGGTTCTGAAATGGTAATGAAACTAAACTAAAGAAGGACTATTGTGCTAAGATTTTACTGAAGCTATACAGACATTCCTTTATTTTCAAAAACTTTGAAAAACACTCAAAGAATAGAGGTCAAGGACAGAGTTTGTTGGAAAACAAAAAATTATTTTCTTTCTAGTAAAGAGTGACAACACAGAAGTTTCTTATAGTTAATAAGAAAGTGTTAAGAAACTAATTTAAGAAAGGAAGGTGCTATTATTATCCCCATTTTTCTGATAAGAAATTGAGGCACAGAGAAGTTCAGCCACTTACCTAAGGTGATGAAGCTGATGAAGGCGAAGTTGGCTCCATATTCCAT